GGGGTTTGGGGGGGTCTGGCTACGAGCTTGCGAGTGTCTTGCTGGGCCTCGGAGGAACTGAGTGATGCGAAGCCTGCGTGGAGTTGTGTTTGTGTGCGATCGTTTATGGAGGGTTCTGTGACTGCGTGGGTGGGACTGCGCCCCTGTGGGGCTGCATGTATCCGAGGGGCTGTGTGTACAGGATTGTGTCTGCGTGGGCCCGAGTGTGCCTCAGGGCTGTTGTGTGTCTGTGTGGGTTTGTTTGCGAGTGGGATTGCGGTTGTTGGGGCTGTGGGTCTGCGCGTGGAGGGGGCAGTACGCCTGTGCAGGGCTGTGGGTCGACGTGAGGCTGTGGTGTGCGTCTGCAGGCGGTCTTGTGTGTGGCTGCGTAGGGCTGTGTTCTGCGTGCGGATCTGAGGCCTGGCGGGCGCGGGGGTCAGGAGGGGGGCTCCGCGTGGTGTCGACGATGGCACCGCCGCAGAAGAGCCGTTTAAGGCGCGAACAGGCTGCGCTGGGGTCGGGGCGCAGCGCGACGAGTAGTGGCGGAGGAGGGGCGGGTAGAGAAGGCGGAGACGAGGGGGCCTTCATCTTGCGCGCCCCCCCCCCCCACCTCCGCACCAGAAACGCAGCTTGGAGATCCTGGTACTTGCCGGCTCCGCGGTCCTAGAGGCACTGGGTTTGGGGGACCCTGCTGGGCGGGGGAGACGCCTATGGGCTGGTGGGGGCAGTGGGAACTGAGACTCTGGAGATCCGGAGCAGCTCACAAGTGCGCGGCGAGGGCTGCCTGAAGAGGCGGGCGGCAGCCTGGAGACGGCAGAGGACTGGGCCAAGACAAAGGAGAGCGGGGCCGGGGCCTCGAGGCGGGACCGCACCTCCAGGTTCCCCCCCGCGGCGGAGGGGCAGCCCAGCCCGCGCGCTTCAGGCTGTCGCGTGGAGCCCCGGGGCGGTGGTGCGGTGGCGCAGCCCCTCTAAGCCCCAGTCCGGGAGGCGCCTCGGGGAGCAGCTCCAGGGCCCCGGGGGCACGGAATTACACGCCCCGGGAGGGGCCGCCGTAGCGGGGGGGGGGGGGGGGGGGGGCGGGTTCTGAGCTTAGCAGGCGGACGCCAGCGCCCCGGGGCTGTGATTGAGCGCTCGCCTGGCCCGCCCCTCGCCAGGCTGCTCACCGCCCACGCAGCCATTCATTCATCCATCTATCCGTCTCTCCTTCTACCCACCCTTCCATCCAGACACGTGTCCGACCTATCGTCCGTTCACCCAATTATCGCGCCAGGGATCACACCGACGTGTCAGACCCGGCTCTCTCCACTCTCTCTCCTGCTTGCCAGTCTTGCTTGTCTTGCTTTCCTTGGCCCCCCACCGCTGCTCCCCGCTCGGGGCCCCTCTCTGTTCTGCCAAGCGGGGAGGAGTGCACCCACGACCTCTATCACACTTAGGTTTTGCTGTTCAGTGATTGCCCGACTTCCTCTATTAACCCCCACCCTGCCCCTACTAACCTCTCCATGCATCCTACACTCTACTCCCGCAGCAATTATGAGCCAACTGGGTGTGGGGAGCCTTCTCCCCACCCTGCCGGCCCTCCCTGAGGTCTGGTGGCTAATCTTAGAGAGGGCAGTGGCAGGCAACTGCCACTGCTTGAGCTCTTCTTAAGGCCTAGCCTCCTGTAGGCTGCGGGGAGGGGAGGGAGGAATGGGGACTAGAAGGGGTTTCATGGATTGCTGTGTGTCCAGGTCTTTGGCTAAGGGCTGTGCAGGCTTAGGGCCTGATGGCACAGAGGCTGCCAGTAGCCCAGTGGCTTGAATAGTCACTCCCAAACCTACCGTTGGTACAGCGTCAAGTGGGAAACCAAAAGCACAGATTCCTGGGCCCTAGCCCAGACCTAACCAATCCAAGTGCCCAGGGCCTTTGTACATGCTCTTTCCCCTGGCTAGGAATCAACAGCTTATAGCCAGGCTCGACAGTGGTCACTGGCCTGGAACGTCTTACAGGCTCCCCAGACTGCTGGGTGCATCTGCCCAGGGGCAAAGAGCCAGCCTCACTCCCAGAAATGGACCCTAATGTGCCCTCTGGGCTGACCCCTAGCTCACGTGGTAAGGATGCAGCAAAAACAAAGAAGGCAACCGTGGGCACCCACTCCCAGCCGGCAAGCCCTGGGCAGCTCTGGTCTTCCCATCTGTAGAACCCAGGCTACTTAGCCCCTATCTTCAATGATCTGGCCTTGGGAACCAGGGTTCTCCGTCCTGAGGCTGCAGAAAGGCAACATTAGACAAAAAAAAAAAAAAAAAAAAAAAAAAAAACCACCCCAAATCCCTGCTGGGGATCACCAACCCAGCCGCAGACTGGCCTGCAACCCCTATCATAGTGCTGCCTGACCCCTCAGCCTCAGACTGTCCCTGTCACATTTGACCCAGCCACCTCCTCCGTACAGCCACCCACAAGGTCAAGATTGGCAGGTAGGGTGTGAGGGTGGTAGCGTGTGCCCCCTTTTATCAGGAGGGGAGGGACAGGCTCCCCTCCCCTCTCTGGTTTCAGAGTGAAGTAAAAGTCCTCACAGTCTCTGATGAAATCCCACACAGTCAGGCCCCCACTACCTCTCTGGCCTCATGCCCCTCCCCCTTACCCACTACTTTGTCTTCTAGATGGTCCTTGAATTCGCCAGACGCACTCTTACCTCAGGGCCTTTGCACTCGCTTATCCCTCTGGCTGCAGTGCTCTTCCCCACCTTCTAACGTACCATATACTTTGTTTATTTAAGTGTTTTGCAGTTATTTTTGTCTGTACGCTCACTGTGTACCCTCTGTACCTAGAATGGAGGCTGACACACATTCAGTAGGTATTGAATGAAGAAATGAGTGAACGAGTGAATGAATGAATGAGGTTGACCCAAGCCGCCTTCTTGGGAGCCCATCCCAGCCCAGGGCTTTCTCTTCTTTGAACCAATAGCCCCCTTGGAGAAGAATGGGGGAAGGGGATGGAGAACATCACGGCAAGATGCATCACATGACTCATCCGAGGTCACTCAGTGAGTACTCTTCACCCATTCTGGAATCTGGGCACACGTCCTAAGGGTTTGGAGGAGTAACACGGTGGGGGGATGGCTTGTCCCAAAGGAGAGCAGAGCCCTTCATCTGTCCCAGGGGTCTCTCTGTTATTCTGGGGGCAGTGTAGAAGAGGGGTCCAGATTCACATCTGCCGGGGGGGGGGGTTGGAAACCCCCAACCTGACCAGAGCCCTTCTATAAGTGTTGTCACAGAGGGTCACCAAGACAACCCCTCAAGTGGGGACCTACTCATCTCTGAGAGGAGACACCCAGGCTGAGAGCCATCTCAGGATGCATCAAGAACACACAGGAAGACAATCTGATCCCTACTGGACTATTAGTTTCTAGGGAAACCTTGCTCACCTCTGCCTGGCACAGAGCAGGTGCTCAGTATGCATTTAGCAAATGAACACATGAAGGAGAGACAGTGTCAAGGTTCAAACTTAGGTCTACATGGCCCCCGAACCCTCACCTGTTCCATCAGACCCCACTGGTTGGGGGGGGAGGGGGGATCATGGGATCGTGACCATGGGATCATGGTGGTAGTACCCAGCACATAGCAGGTACTTCATAAATGCTGAGGGAATGACTGGCCGGGGAGGCTGTCTATCTGGCAGGTTCCCTGCTCCGGCCAGGGGTCTGACTCCACTGCTCACCACATGAGTCCTTCCCCAGGCTCAGTAGGGAGGGGGACCCCCTCATGCTTGGCTGGCAGGAGAGTTTTATGGGCCACGGTGGGAGTGCTCACGGGTGTCAAAGGGCCAGATGCTTCCTGGGGAGGTGCGGCTGTGCTCAGGAGAGCCTGGGCCTGGACAGGTCAGCCCTTTGTTTGCCCAGTGCAATCTGGATAGAGCTGCTTTCCTGCAAAGTGTGTGTCCAAATACCATTCCAGTGTTAAATAATAAACAGGAGCCAGGGAGGAGACGCCAGGCAGGGGCCTGGGGAGAACAGGCAATGGGGTGAGTGGAGCTGCCAGATGTTAGGCTCACTGACGGGCCACCAGGGACAGGGGTTAGCCAAGGGCCACCCAGGTGGGCACAACAGGCAGAGAAGAGGGGCCTAGACTCCACCTACCAGGCTAGGCGGGTGCCACTGAGACACCGAAGTCTCATTCAAGCTCAGCCCTGATCTGGTAACCCCCAGGCCCTCCTGGCTTTGAGATGCCATGGCTCTCCGAGGAGAGGACACGCCAGTCTGCAGGCCCCGGGTCAGAGGTGGGCCAGGCAGATTGCAACATCTATCTTATACATATTTATAGAGAGTCAGGTTTCAAATCTCTACCTTTCCCTCACATCAGTCACCATTTCAAAGATGGGGTCTCTGAAGTCCAAACAATTGACTTGTCCAAGGTCACAGAACTTGAGTGTAGCAGAAGTACTCATCCATTTGCCTGGCCAATATTTACTGAGCACCTACTATGTTCTAGGCACTGTTCTATGTGTTGAGCATTCAGAGCAAGGAACAGGACAAAGCTTCTGTTCTTTGTGGTCATGAGTCAGACAAGAAACAGAATGAATGGGTAAATTATATAGTATGTTACACTTAGGCGGAAAAATAAATAAAGCCAGGGAAGGGGACTGGGAGCATCTGGGGAAGGGCTGTGTTTTCACGTTGGGTGGTCAGGGAACTTGCACTTAAAAACATTTGAGAACAGACTTGAAAGACTGAGACAGTAGGGCGTGCAGCCATGTCGGGGGAAAAGCTGTGCAGGCAGAGGGAACAGCTAGTGCAAAGGTCCTGAGGCAGAAGCAGGGTGAGAATTTTCATGGAACAGCACAGGCTGGTGTGGCTGGAGCTGAGTGAGCCATGGGGGCAAGTGGGAACAGATGGGGACAGAGAGGGGACAGAAGCCACACCACAGGACCCTATATACCTTTGTAAGAACTTTGGCTTTTATAGGGAGTGAAGAGAGGTGTCTCTGCAATGTTCTGAGCAGAAGTGGGACACGGTCTCTTTGAGGGCCTTCCTCCTAGTATCCCCAGCAGCCGCGAACACAGCAGACATGCGGGCAGGGCAGGAGCAGGGAGGCCAGAGGTCCAGGTGGACGAGGACAGGGCCTGGCCAGGGTGCGGATCGTGGAGAGCCAAGAAGGCGCAGAATTCTGCCTTTATTTTGGAGGCGGGGCTAACAGGACTAGCTGCTGCATCTGGCCTGAGGAACCAGACGGACAGAGTGGTCTGGGGCAGGTGCCCCAGGCTAGGGGGAGGGCACTTCCTTAGGAAAGGCACAAACCTGCCCCATCTGACAGGTTAATGAACTTCATGCCAATGTGTCAGAGTAGATAGCTGAGGAGGCCCCGTTTTTATCGGATGCACTAGGAGTAGCGCCCTGCCGAGTCATTTTCCCACTCCAAGCCTCAGTTTCCCCTTTATCGGGAACACGTCAGTCCAGGGCAGCAGCCCGAGGGCCCGACTGGCCTTCCCTCCCTTGTGGCCACTGCTGTTCTCGCAGGCCAACCGAGTGAGACCCACTCCGCAAATCTCTGCTCCAGGGTGCATTTCTGGAGCGCCCACCAAGTGCCATTGTTGGGGGGAACAGGGGAGACGACAATGCACAAAACAGACAGACCCCCTGCCCTCGTGGTCACTAAGCAATTCCAGCCCTGTTACTTTCTGTCCCCCGCCAAAACCCTCTACCCACCTGGCACTTCCTAAGAGCTGGGCCACCATGTGAGACCGAGAGCAAAAACACTTGAGAAGATGTTTTTCTTTGAAAGCAAAGCACTTGGGCGGTTCAGCTTCTGGGGGTGGGGGGCCAGGATCATAAACATCCAAGTCCTCTTAAACTCTTAGAACATTCCAAACACTTGGTATGCCCCCTGCCCCAAATCTCAGGGAAGGCAGTGGAGGGCAGAGGAGGGTCTGGGGTCTCCTTATCCGGGTTCGGCCTGAGTCGGGGCAGGAGAAAGCCCTGGGGGCAGGGGGCAAGTCCTTCACAATCTGCCTTGGGCTGGTCTGCCCATCGGGCTCTGCAGATACGAAACCATTTCCTGCCTTTGATCAGCACGACCTTTGATCTCTGCTGTCTGTGGCTTTCTCTGCCATCTGTCTGTCTGTCCATCCTTCTTTACTAGGCTGTGGGAGGCCACCAGATGAGGTCACACAGCTTCAGGCTCAGACGGGGCAGGCCCACCCGCTACGGGCTACCCTTCACTGGGTGTGGGCCCCAGAGGAGGAACGCTGTGCAGGGGGGCGCACACTCTCTCTCACCCCGTAGCCCCTACAGCCTCCATGTCTCGGGGCGATCCAGGCTGGCGCCTGACCCCCGGGGGCAGTCCCCTCCCTTTCTCAGCATCTGAGTGCGCTAGAAGGTGCTGGGCTTGTATCCCTGAGCTCGGAGGAGGTGGCGAGGCCCTGCAGTCAGAGGGCGGAGGCCGCAGGCATGGCTGTGTGGGGAGTCAGTGCGAAAAAGAGGCGGGCCGGACAGGACAGCCGGTCAGACAGACAGAGGAGGGACAGGGGAAGGCAGACGGCTGAGGAGCAGGAAGTGTGTGGAGGGTGCCAGAGCAAATGAAGGGGAGAGGGGAGAAGGGATGACAGGGCAACAGGGATGAAGGGAGGGGAGGGCACCAGGTCCGCCAGGCAGCATCCCCTCAGCCTGGGGACGGCCTGCCCCTGCCACACGTTCTCCTGAGCAGTCCTGCGTCTGGAGGACAGCCCTTCGTTCCCGGCTGTGACCAATGCCACCAATTCCTCCCACATGTGGCCCGGCTGGGAGCCATGTGAACCTTCTTGCCTCTGAGCCCCCACCTCTCAAGCAGCTGCAGCCCAGGGCTCAAACCTGCCTTCATGGTGAGGGAGCCGCCAAGGGGCTGGGAGTCCTATCCGGTCCTCGACGTCAACACAGATGGCCCCCTGACCCAGCCACCGACCGACCCTTAGCCACAGTCACATTGGACCCTTGACCCCAGTCAGTGTGAGCCTCCTGCCCCAACTCCAGCCACAGACTGATCCCTGCCCTCTGCCATGAATGGGCTTCTGACCTCAAGCCATAGTCCCTAGCCGCAGACCAACATCTGGCTCTTGCTGGGGATCGACCTGGGGCCCCAGTGCCAGCCTGAGCCTGAACCCCGATGCTGGCAGAGGCCCTCTGCCATTCTGGGGACCATCCTGTGCACACATTCCCCCAGGCCACTGGGGACCACACGGGAAGACGGAAGGGGCCCAGCGCAGAGCCGTGGTAAGAAGCACCATCAACCCCGTACATGGCCCACGCCGAGACCTCAGGGTCAGCCGGTGCCCCGGGCGGGGCCGGGGGGCGGGGGGGGGCCCGAGGCCACTGACACTTTTCCCAAGCAGAATTCACTGGCGTGGAGCGGGAAGCCTGCCTGGGCCAGAGCGAGCAGGCCAGACAAACACACAGACATACTCAGGATCTGACAGACTGACACACACAGTCAGACCCAGCAGCCCAGCCCCTGAGACGCTCCCACACCAAAACTCACCTGCAAAGACACACGGAGCCCGAGATGCATAGGTACCAGCACATGGGCGTAAAGCAAAGCCATGGAACCAGATACACGCACACACGGACTGTCCCTGCCCCTTTTCGCTGAGCCGCACGGCCCCTCTGGCCCGGGCCCAGCGGCTCCCCAGGTACCCAAGAATGGGAACGACAACGGCTCCCTCCTCTTCCTCTCCTTCCAAGAGCATGTGGAACCCACCCTGAGCCCCAGCAGCTTCCTCTGCCCCCCGGGGAAGAGGCCCCAGCAAGAGCCCAAGGATTACTCCCTCCTCCGAATTCAGGGGGGTCGTGGATGCCATTTTCTACACAGAGGGCCTGCCCCATGTCACACAGCAGATGGGGAGGGGGGCCAGGATGTGCACAAACACACAGGGTCTCCTAGGTGGAAAGACACAGGCACACACGTCCATGTGTATGCACACTCACAAAATCAGAGACACGCATGTGCTCGTATGCATGCGAGGACGTGTACTGCAGGGACCTACACAAATGTACCCGTGTAAAAGTGACACACTGCACACGTAAGGACACACAGAGACTCCTCTGTGTAAGAGTGCGTAGGCACACCTGCCTCCACACGTCATTTGTTCCCTGACCCCGCGGTCTCCAGGGATGGGGACCCCAGAGACCATGGGTCACTCTAGGTGGCTCAACCACTCCTCAGGTGCCCCTCCAGCCCCTTCCTGGCTCAACCGAGAGCTCTGTGGGCCTGCGCCCTCCCTCTGCCTGGTGGCACTGGGGATGCTGCCCCGGGGCTTCTCTCGGCCTCCAGTTCCTGACCCCAGCCAGGTGAGGACCCCCGAAGTCCTCCTGACCTCGTCCCGCCTGGACCTGGGCTGGCTACGGCATGCCCTCTGTCTTTGGCACAAGTAGGCCAACTCCCTCGCTCCTAGGGGACAACCCAGCCCTGTCACCTCCACCTGTCAGCTGTGGGAATGTGACAAGAGACCCAGGCCCTGCTCAGCTTCTCCCAGGGTGGGTGAGTCCCCAGGAACATTCAAATGGAAAGCCCTTTTCAGGGGGTGCCTGAATCTGCACAGATTGCCTCTGGAAGGATGGAGAAGAAACTGCTGATCAAAAAGGAGGGTAGGGGTGGGAGGGATGCTAATTGTGCGGTGTGAATTTTTTACCACATGAGTGTATGAGGAGGAGGAGGAGGAGGAGGAGGAGGAGGGGCGCCGGTGGGGAGGGCAAGGAGGGAGGAGGGAGGGGTGGGAGGAGGAGGGGATTGTTGTTCTAATGCTTTTCCTCCCAGTTTGGCTTCATCCCCAAATTCCCCGGCGGAACCCAGGTGACTGTGCCACGGGGCAGGGGTGGCGGGCGGGGAGGGGTGTTGACTCTGCCAAGCACCCGTGTGGAATCCTCCCAGAAATCCTCTGGGGGAGGCGTCCTTAGCCCATTTTGGAGATGTGGAAACGGAGATGTGCAGACGGGAGAGCACGAGGTCTGAGCGGCTTTGGGTGGAGCCTGAACCGCTGTCCTGTCTCGGGAGCCGTTCTCATTCACCTGTTCCATCCGGGGCCCGACTCAGAGCAGTCCAGCCCGGGCACGAGTGTGGAGGAAAGGAGTCGAACCCCCGGCTTCGCACGCCTGCCTGGGCTCTGACCTCCTGGCTCCCATCCTCCCCACACACCTTAAACCAGGAAAAGGGCTGCCTCTGCCCTCCCCGGTGCAAGTCCGGTCCTGCCACACCTTGGCTGTGTGTCTCTGGGCAGCTGTGCACCCTCTCTGGGCCACAGTCGCCACAGCTGGGAAGAGAGGTGATGCTTCTCTGCTCCTGCTTATTGCCTCATGGTGGGGGCCGGGGCCAGGGGTGGGGGTGGGGGGGGGGGCGATGCGGGCCGGAAAGCAACCTTCTAAAAGCTGTAATCTTTCTCCCTAAATTTGGCACACGGTCCACCGTCCAAGACCAGGAGAACCCTCCCCAGCCCGGCCCCCGAGACGAGGCAGCTACAAGGGGCTTTCACCAGACAGACTGACAGGGCCAAGAGCCAGGTCCAGCCAGCCACAAGTATGACGTCCCCCCGGCCCTGTTTCCATACATTTTTGTGGTGGGGAGGACTGCGGTCAACTTTCTTAGACAGTCCACACCACTCCCGAAACGCGTGACGAGGGACTCACCCCCAGCTGCTTCGCGTGATGTGCCTCAGGTTTTGTCACCTTTAAAATGGGAGACTGGCAGGGCCTGGGTTCTGTGTTGAGGAGGCATGGAGATGAGGACGTGAAAGTCATTATGGGGTTTGCCTCGTCGCGAACCCTTGAAAAATGCCAGCTCTGAAGGCTGTTAGTCCCTCCTGGTCTACGGACAGATGGGAGTTCTCGATCGCTGGGATAAGTATCAAGTCTCAATTTCACGGTGGTGGTCTGAACATTTAATTCGGAAATCCTACTTGGCTGTGCTGCCGGGGCGAAGGCCCACCCGCACTTTGTCCCCCGTGCTGAATGACCACTGACATGTGCTCTGGGCTGCTAGTCCCCAAATCCCTTCACAACCACCACCCACCCCACAACCAAGCAAGGGGCCCGGGGGCCCGGTGCCGCAGACCCAGACGCTGGGGCTCAGAGAGGGAGCTTAGGAGAAGTAGAAGCAACAGGAAGACAGATTTCACCTCCATATAAGGAAGAGCTTGCTAACAGGCAGAGCTGCCCAGAAATGGAATGAGTGAACTGCCTTGGGAGGTGGTGAGCGACCCGTGGCTGAAGGCGTGCAAGGGAAAGAAGGAGGTCTCTGGGTGGAGACGGCACGCAGGCGGCTCAGACACTGGTTGGGGGAGGAGGCTGGGAGCTCTTGTCCTGTGACTTGACCAAGGCCATGTGAGCAGGAATGGAATCCCAGAAGGTCAGAGCTGGGGGCCCGGACAAGCGCTCTCCTGCTCCGAACCTGTCACGTGAAAGCCCAGCGGACAGAGGCCTAGCCCTCCCCATCAATCCCCTGCCCACCTCCCACATCGCAAAGCATTTATTTCTTAGAAGGAAATACCTACTTTCAATTTTGAAAGCTGGAAAGTATACAAAAGTAGAAAGGAAAAACAAAACAAAACAAAACCCCGAATCCCCCTCACCCTGCAACAATTCCTGTTAATATTTCCTTCCACTCTTCTCCGTGGGCATCTATTTTGGTTAGAAGTCCTAGCATGCGCTAGAAATATATATATATATATATATATATA